ACTCTTCAACTTTATTATGTTCCCATGTCTAATAGTCTAATAGTTCCTCCAACTCCATCCATGAAGAATGTGTTTTTGTATTAAAGGCTCACCGGAATAGATGGAACCAGTGGGATCCAGTGGGAACCTGGACATGAAAAAAACATCTTCAATCTACAACAACTCACACTGCTTGAATGCAATAAAGGTTTGCTTTGATGATAAGACAAACCAGTGTTTAGCAAAACCATATATAATTTCGATGGATTTGGCCACGAGAGAGTGGACCTCATAAATGTAAATTTGAGACTCGTTTCAAGGTCTCAAAAACGGACCGCCGAACTCTGTGACAAGATTCCTCATACATCATTGCGCTTTTGAAATAAGATATCACACAATCACATGGTCCACTTTCTTCCTATTCTCACCTGACCTGCAGGTTCGCGGTCATGTTTTTTTCTACAGAAGGATATCCATGTGATTCCCACAGTCGCAGGAGGAGGCCATACTGTAGGAAGGACTCAAGAGGCAAGCAGAGGCAAGCAGAAAGATTCCCACTAACAACTTCATGGTTCAGCTTTGCTCCACTGAAGTGACTAGGATACAGAAACATTCCAACTAAGAGGATAAAATCTGACTGGTAACCAAACTCTGGAATCATGTGTTCAGTTCGGGGAAATCAGTGATTGGGATTCAGTTTAAGTATTCCCGAATCCTTGACAAACCCATATGAACTCAAACTCAAACATTTGGAACCTAGTCTGGACTGAACGAAGTGAGTTGCTGTAGGGGCATTGCACAAATTGATGGTTAACAATTTAGTTTTCTGTACATGTTGGGGAAATCAAGCCAGTGTTTGGATAGCTGGGTCGCCTTTGGTTCTTATGTGGAAAAAAATAATATTGTTCCTCACATCACTTTTTTGATGGGAAATAGGTAAAACAAAAATCGGCTAAGAAGGTAAAAATCAACATCTGTGCAGGGAAAGTAATGTTATCACTGTTTTAATAGGACTAATTCATAGGATTCATGGTTCTATTTTTTGGGGGGTGGCTAAATCTAAGATTACACCATGGAGGATATGATTGATGGTTGGTAACTTGCTTGCTACCACCTCCCAAATCACCAACGAAGTTAGCTTGCTGAATGATCAGAATTCATCCAGACTATTGGGGCGTGTCTGAAAATGGGCTCATTGTTATCCTTTCATGGCAATTTTGAATAATTTGAACAGGTGCCTTTTGTAGAATATACCCTGTGGTAAACTAACATAGCTATTGAAAATGGCCATAGAAATAGTGGATTTTCCCATTAAAAATGGTGATTTTCCATAGCTATGTTAAATTACCAGAGGGTAGATGAATCTAGTCAAACGAACGAATCTCCGGATTTCCATCTCTTTGTCTGCGCCGAGGCAGACTCTGTTGGTGGCACAGATATCGAGGCAACACCCTGATCCGAAAGATTCCGAAAGCCTGATATGTTTGGGAAGTATAACAGATGGATTCCGGTTATACAGATTTGGAAGATATGATTTGTAGGTGGAATTGGATGGGTAAACACCCGAAAAAAATCCCGAATTTTACTGAGACTTAAACTGTTCGCAGGAGCTCAGCACCTAGTATTTGTGTGGTTTAATGGCCATGGGGGGGCGGGGTGAAACCCCGCATTTTGACAGACAACCATGGAGTATCCTTTCGAGGGTGGTTGACGCTTTTTTCCCTGAAGGTTGGGCTAATGGTTGAGATTGATAATTGTGGATAGTTGAACAGTTTTTGTTTAAGGAAGTTGTATTTGTTCAATTGTTCTGCAGCATCACAATCGAAGAAGTCAGTGGAAAAGGTGTTGTAGCAAGATGGGTAGATGGACATGGGTCAAAGCTATGTATCCTGCTCTTACAAGTACCACTTGCCTTGAACCTTACCAAGATGAGCTTGCAAATGTCATCTCCCACATCTCTTTGCAAAGCCCTTCGGGGTGTTTTTGTGGTGGGAGCTGGTCCAGTCTGCCTGGTCACTCCTATCAGGCTTGCAAGAGCGGCTTGGAACGGCTTCGAAAGGCCTGCTCTGTTGGGAGGTAGCTAGCTTCTGGGGAAAGTCACATTACAGAAATGATCAGACATGTAAGCTGTAAGATCCTACCAGAATCATGGCAAATTACTGTATCAATCTTTTTTGAGTTGCTGAACACATGTTCCACAGCTGCAGAGTCTCCAATGCCGACGCTGTTTCTGCAGAGCGGCGAACTCACCATCCCAAAAAGCGACAGTTGGCCGTTTCTGAGAGCTTGGAGACTTGCCTTGAGAATGTCTCAAGTTGGACTTGATGATATCTTGGATATCTTGGATGTGCATCCCAGTTCGTAGATCACAACTTGATTAGCCAATCCACGTACAAGTGAATGCCTAATTTACTATATGGTTATTAGCTGGGATGCGCCCCACAAGTAAAGCGCCTTACGATGATATTTTCTCATATGTACACACCATGCACGGGACATACCATATTACCCATTGTATTTCTGGCCATCAAACTGCCTATCTTTGTCAGCTACAAGTGCTCCCTGACTGTTCTCCGAACAGGGCTGAATGAACACACGCTTGCTATATTAGTTTTGGTCACTGAGGCACCAGGCTTTGGTCTAGATACTAATTATTACTATGTTATATATATATATATATATGATATATGTATATTATATTATATATATATATATGTATAATTATATATAAATGATGTTAATTGATTACAATTATAATTAGTTATGAATGTAAACCATCCATATTCACGCTGACCAGGCCAGCCCAATCCTCCTGCAGCACTTCGAGAAGCACCAGCTTCCCAGCGCTTTGGATGCGACCGAGGCCGCAGCGATAGTGAGGATATCCCACATTGCACATGTGGATACCGATGAAATAGTAGTTTTAGTGGGCAGCCAGCCATAGTGATAAACCATGATAAACCAGAAAAAATGGAAAGATAGCCTGTTTTCAGACAAGCATGATATGTTATGGGGAAACTCATTATGTATAATCATCTATATAATTATATAATCATGAAGCAGTTACTAAGTGGGGGACATGTCCTAGTTAGTCCCGTGTAATCCAAACATGAAACCCAGACATATCAAGTAACAGACATCAGCATTCCACATGTCAAAAAGATCAATCGTATATACATACGGAGGTTTCCTAAAATACGGGTTCCCCAAATCCTCCAAAATTAGACCATGTTAGTATTGAAACCTATGGTTTTGGGGTTAGGAAACTCCCATATATACATATAGGATCGTATAGGGATATCATCCAAAGAAGACCAGCATCAAAGGCCACGAGTCGTTACCGAAATTTCATGGAGTTACTCTCGCAGGTCACCACTGTCCATCTAAATGTCACAACCTCCTCAGGCTGCATTGCTGGCCATTGAGTGATTCCGGGATCGCTGTCACAAGACCTCAGTGTGTGATCGGTGCAGAATCCAAAGTTTTTTTTCGAAAGGGTGTATGGCATGTGGCCAGGATTTATGGTGGAGGTTTGCTCCTTTTGTGCATTCCATCACAATTGAGGCGCAGCATATTCTTGGTGGATTCGACTGGTTGGAAGTGTTTTCAGCAATGCATCCATGCAAAGGTTTCCCATGCAGATCAGATAAAATATATTAAAATATGATAAGATGAAACACATGATTTTTTGAACACACGTCTACATGTATGTAGTCTTTGTGAATCAACGTGAGAATGTAGAATGCACCAGTCACCACAAAGACCCAAAAGCGTGCAGCATTCGCCTGCATTGATCCCAGAAGCCTCCGGTGAAAAACCGAAGATGCGACTGGAGCTTTGGATTGGCCCAGGAGTGGAGTATACCGCATACGCCAAGGTATGGCCGTTTTGATACCATCCGGTAATCAAACGTTGCCATGGAAAATCCTCCATAAATGATCATATAATTGGTGGGTTTTAATGGTAACATCATCTACAGATGGTGGGTTTTCCATTATCATTATCACGTCATGTTTACTTGAAGGTAAGCCTTTGAATTTTTGGGTAGCCTATAGACAAAGCACCCGGCAGCTGACCTGTGACTGCCATTATCTTCATGTGCAAGATGCAACAAAGAGAAACTGGTTGTTCCCAAATATGTTCCCTTTTTATTCATGTTACATCATATAACTGTATCTGTATTTGAGATTATGATCCCCAAGGACAAGCGTTTGTGGGTGATGGGTTGGTTTGCAATCACCAACCAGGAACTACATAACACGACAGAACCTATAGCATCTATAGCGGTATCAAATGAAATCATTTTAATCATGTTGTGCTCAGCTGCCAAGAGATATCCAAGCTCCATGATTGCCATAGTCCATAGATCTTTAATCCAGGCTCGGATGGCGAGCATCTTAGTCCACTAATTTGACGAACTTAATGATAAAACATATCTGGTTGGTGGTTTGGAACATTTTTTATTTTCCATAATATATGGGATAATCCTTCCCATTGACTAATATGTTTCAACATGGTTAAAACCACCAACCAGATATTGGTTCTGTTGTTTCATGAACCTCAAAGAATCAGGATTTTTGATGTTGGGTTTACAAAACACTTGTCTGATCCCCACAGTCAACTCATCCGCATGCCATTGGCTTGGCTCAAGTCACTTCAGTGCCACAACACATGAAACAAAACACCAGGATGACCAGCGATCCGACTTCTCAAGTATGGTACTTGAGTGAATATCAGTGCGAAAATGCAACAAAAATGCCTGGTTACTTGGTGTTGTCGTACACACACACACAATACGAGTGGTTTCAAGAATTGTCTTCCCCTTACTATACTTAGAGATGAACACCGCAGTCCTGTAGCCTGCCAAGGGCCAGCTGGGAACCCCACTTTTCCAAACACGGTTTCCCAGTTATCTCGGCAAATCCGAAAAAGATGCACCAACAATTCTAGACACGTGAGCCTTGGGATAGCAACATCATTGGTAAGATTTCCTGCTGCAAACACACGCAAGCTGAGAGGTATTCATTTGCACTTGTCCCTCTTTGCCTTGCCGCGTGCATTTGCGTGCCTCTCTCAGCCGCTGGTCATGAATCCCCGACGCATTGTTGTTTGTGATCAAAATTAAGATGGTCAAGAGAGTGATGATCCATACATAGTATATACACACAAATAAATGTATATTCAATATGTAACTAGTGTATTTATATGATCGTATATGATGTATGTCAGGTGCCTTTGCAACTTCTGACCTAGGTGATGGACTATGATGCGCTCCTCCTGGACAACAATCGGTGGGGTGATCCTGTCTGCGAGGGAAATTTCCATATGGATACAGGTTGAATAAGTATAGCGCGCCCCCCCCAAAAAAAAATAGAAGAGTGCAATCCTAGTAAATCAGTGACAAAAGAGTTTTCTATCTTTTGTGGGTACTATATAATTACACTTGTTAAACAAATCTCTGGTTGGTGTTTTCAAAGATTGTCAACGATGGTTGATTTACATCCATACTTCTACCTCATGATCACCAACGAGTCAATGAGAATCAACCACTAACATTCTTCAAGTGGCTTGGAACCAGATACCAGCATCTGGATGCTAACAGGGGTAACCCCCATGACTTAGGAAACCTCCATATCATGAAGACCATAATTGCAGTCACCATCAGTCAGAGCAAAAGTTCGCAAGGCTGGGCTGGAGTCCAAAATCTTCGTTGAGACATGTTTATAGAAAAGATGTATGTACATTCCAGAAAGCGCTTCCCAGCTGGCTTACTGTAACAGTGTTTTTTGTCATGGAACCTATATTTAGATTTGTTTGTAAACCAACTTTTATCTATTGGCAGTGTGTTCCTATCCTGCGATATGCTCACTGAGATACCGCGAATCAAAGGTGTCTGGAAGGTGTCTTGATACTTCTCAGACTTCTCAGGTAGAAATCCACATGATCAGGTTGGATGGCTGTATCCAGATATCCGCGCGTAGTGTCTCAAATCAACATGGTACCTATTGACCTATTGGCTATCCAGTGCTGGTCAGCGAGTGGATATATCTACAGGGAGTCCCATGGGCCCATGAGATTATCAGGTGATAAATGTGATAAAGCAGTAAACCCTACATCCATATTGTCACAGGTGGATCACTTATAGACTCGCAACACCCGGAATTGGACGAAGGGAAGTCTTAAGTTTACATTTTGCATAAAGCCTTTGTTGTTTATATTTATAGATGTTTATGGTACAGATGTTTACAGTCGATAGCCAGGGTTTCCTGGTGTTTCCTGTCCTTTCCCTTGCTGGAAAACAGCCCTGACGTCCGATGATCACCTTTGGTCCCACGGTCAGGCGGTCCATGTTCCCCGGCTGCGAGCCGCGCTTGCTTAGCGTCTCTTCTGACCACACCATGCGCATGTGGAACATCAAAACAGGCAGGTTTGGTTGTGGTGATCATGGTGATGACGTTCCAGTCATAGATAATTACTGTAATGATTATAATCTATAAATGGGATAACCGGATACTATAGATGGTGATTGTAGATGGGATAATGAGTTGGATGGTTATAACATGTTATAGCATGCTATAACCCGCCGCGTGTTGCACCCAGCCGGTTGGTGGAGATTACTAAGCATAATTTGGGGATAGTCATAAGTCAATACCTCTATATTTCAAGCGAGTGACTTAGGACTTGTGAAAGATACCCCGGTGTGGCCAAGTCCTATCTCATCATGCATCGGACCCCCCCTGCATAAGTCCCAACTCATCCGGTGTCCGTATAAGATTAGAAACTATGTTTGATTTTTTTTAGTGCGGCATGGGCCACTCGTAAAACCATGATGACATAGGACTTGTTCCCCTCTGGTGACATACGATTTTGTGCACCAAGTCCTGTGCGTGTATGTAATGTAATTTACTGTAATGTACTGTAACGTAATGTAATGTACTGTAGTGTAATGTAATGTGCTGTACTTTACTGTAATGTAATGTAATGTAGCTACATTACATTACATTACAGTAAAGTACAGCACATTACATAGCGTAATGCTGTAATGTAACCTAATGTAATGTAGTGTAAGTATGTAGGTTCTGATGACTTAGGACTTGTGCCCATCTTGAAAAATTGTGATTTTCATTTTTTCCTTCGATTTATATAGAGACATTATTTTAAATAAATTGAAAAATAAATATATGTTTTTCCACTTTTCATTTTTCTCTGTTGTTTCCCGTTTTGTTTCCCCGTTGTGCTTCCCTATTGTGGTCCCCTATTGGGAAAAGCTGCTTTTGTAACATAGCGAAGTGAAATGTTAATATTTGCGCATATCTATCTGAAAAAAAAATCACAGATTTTTGTGAAATATTTTTTTCGAAGATGGGCAAAAGTCCTAAGTCATCATTTTTTCAATGCTTGGCTCGAGGACTTCGACCCAACGACGGGGTAGTGCAACGGGGAATACAATAGGGAAGCACAACGGGGAAACAAAACGGGAAACGACAGAGAAAAATGAAAAGTGAAAGAAATATATTTATAGTTTTCAATTTCTTTAATTGCTTTAAAATACTGTCTGTATATAAATCGAAGGGAAAAATGGAAAATCACAGATTTTTGTCAAATATTTTTTTTTTGGCAGATCGGCACAAGTCCTAAGTCATCATTTTTTCAACGATTGGCTCGAGGACTTCGACCCAACGACGGGGTAGTGCAACGGGGAATACAATAGGGAAGCACAACGGGGAAACAAAACGGGAAACGACAGAGAAAAATGAAAAGTGAAAAAAAAATATATTTATATTTTTCAATTTATTTAATTGCTTTAAAATACTGTCTGTATAAAAAATCGAAGGGAAAAATGGAAAATCACAGATTTTTGTCAAATATTTTTTTTTTTGGCAGATCGGCACAAGTCCTAAGTCATCATTTTTTCAACGATTGGCTCGAGGACTTCGACCCAACGACGGGGTAGCGCAACGGGGAATACAATAGAGAAGCACAACGGGGAAACAAAACGGGAAACAACAGAGAAAAATGAAAAGTGAAAAAAAACATATTTATATTTTTCAATTTATTTAATTGCTTTAAAATACTGTCTGTATATAAATCGACGGAAAAAATGGAAAGTCACAGGTTTTTGTGAAATATTTTTTTTGAAGACTGGCACAAGTCCTAAGTCATCATTTTTCAACGATTGGCTCGAGGACTTCGACCCAACGACGGGGTAGTGCAATGGAATGGGGAATACAATAGGGAAGCACAACGGGGAAACAAAACGGGAAACAACAGAGAAAAATGAAAAGTGAAAAAAACATATTTAATTTTTCAATTTGTTTAATTGCTTTAAAATACTGTCTGTATATCAATCAAAGGAAAAAATGGAAAATCACAGATTTTTGTGAAATATGTTTTTTCGAAGATGGGCACAAGTCCTAAGTCATCACTTTTTCAACGAATGGCTCGAGGACTTCGACCCAACGACGGGGTAGCGCAACGGGGAATACAATAGAGAAGCACAACGGGGAAACAAAACGGGAAACAACAGAGAAAAATGAAAAGTGAAAAAAAAATATTTATATTTTTCAATTGATTTAATTGGTTTAAAATACTGTCTGTATATAAATCGAAGGAAAAAATGGAAAATCACAGATTTTTGTGATTTTTTTTTGAAGATGGGCACAAGTCCTAAGTCATCATTTTTTCAACGATTGGCTCGAGGACTTCGACCCAACGACGGGGTAGTGCAACGGGGAATACAATAGGGAAGCACAACGGGGAAACAAAACGGGAAACAACAGAGAAAAATGAAAAGTGAAAAAAATATATTTATATTTTTCAATTTATTTAATTGGTTTAAAATACTGTCTGTATATCAATCAAAGGAAAAAATGGAAAATCACAGATTTTTGTGATTTTTTTTTTTAAGATGGGCACAAGTCCTAAGTCATCATTTTTTCAACGATTGGCTCGAGGACTTCGACCCAACGACGGGGTAGTGCAACGGGGAATACAATAGGGAAGCACAACGGGGAAACAAAACAGGAAACAACAGAGAAAAATGAAAAGCGAAAAAAAACATATTTATATTTTTCAATTTATTTAATTGCTTTAAAATACTGTCTGTATATAAATCGAAGGAAAAATGCGAAATCACGGATTTTTGTGATTTTTTTTTTGAAGATGGGCACAAGTCCTAAGTCATCATTTTTTCAACGATTGGCTCGAGGACTTCGACCCAACGACGGGGTAGTGCAACGGGGAATGCAATAGGGAAGCACAACGGGGAAACAAAACGGGAAACAACAGAGAAAAATGAAAAGTGAAAAAAACATATTTATATATTTTTCAATTTATTTAGTTGCTTTAAAATACTGTCTGTATATAAATCAAAGGAAAAAATGGAAAATCACGGATTTTTGTGAAATATTTTTTTGAAGATGGGCACAAGTCCTAAGTCATCATTTTTTCAACGATTGGCTCGAGGACTTCGACCCAACGACGGGGTAGTGCAACAGGGAATACAATAGGGAAGCACAACGGGGAAACAAAACGGGAAACAACAGAGAAAAATGAAAAGTGAAAAAAACATATTTATATTTTTCAATTTATTTAGTTGCTTTAAAATACTGTCTGTATATAAATCGAAGGAAAAAATGGAAAATAACAGATTTTTGTGATTTTTTTTTGAAGATGGGCACAAGTCCCAAGTCATCATTTTTTCAACGATTGGCTCGAGGACTTCGACCCAACGACGGGGTAGTGCAATGGGGAATACAATAGGGAAGCACAACGGGGAAACAAAACGGGAAACGACAGAGAAAAATGAAAAGTGAAAAACACATATTTATATTTTTCAATTTATTTAATTGCTTTAAAATACTGTCTGTATATCAATCAAAGGAAAAAATGGAAAATCACATATTTTTGTGAAATATATTTTTTTTGAAGATGGGCACAAGTCCTAAGTCATCATTTTTTCAACGATTGGCTCGAGGACTTCGACCCAACGACGGGGTAGTGCAACGGGGAATACAATAGGGAAGCACAACGGGGAACAAAACGGGAAACAACAGAGAAAAATGAAAAGTGAAAAAAAAATATATTTATATTTTTCAATTTATTTAATTGCTTTAAAATACTGTCTGTATAGAAATCGAGGGAAAAATGCGAAATCACAGATTTTTGTGAAATATTTTTTTTTTTGGCAGATCGGCACAAGTCCTAAGTCATCATTTTTTCAACGATTGGCTCGAGGTCTTCGACCCAACGACGGGGTAGTGCAACGGGGAATACAATAGAGAAGCACAACGGGGAAACAAAACGGGAAACAACAGAGAAAAATGAAAAGTGAAAAAAAATATATTTCTATTTTTCAATTTATTTAGTTGCTTTAAAATACTGTTTGTATATCAATCAAAGGAAAAAATGGAAAATCACAGATTTTTGTGAAATATTTCTTTTTGAAGATGGGCACAAGTCCTAAGTCATCACTTTTTCAACGAATGGCTCGAGGACTTCGACCCAACGACGGGGTAGCGCAACGGGGAATACAATAGAGAAGCACAACGGGGAAACAAAACGGGAAACAACAGAGAAAAATGAAAAGTGAAAAAAACATATTTATATTTTTCAATTTATTTAATTGCTTTAAAATACTGTCTGTATATCAATCAAAGGAAAAAATGGAAAATCACATATTTTTGTGAAATATTTTTTTTTCGAAGATGGGCACAAGTCCTAAGTCATCATTTTTTCAACGATTGGCTCGAGGACTTCGACCCAACGACGGGGTAGTGCAACGGGGAATGCAATAGGGAAGCACAACGGGGAAACAAAACGGGAAACAACAGAGAAAAATGAAAAGTGAAAAAAACATATTTATATATTTTTCAATTTATTTAGTTGCTTTAAAATACTGTCTGTATATAAATCGAAGGAAAAATGCGAAATCACGGATTTTTGTATTTTTTTTTTGAAGATGGGCACAAGTCCTAAGTCATCATTTTTTCAACGATTGGCTCGAGGACTTCGACCCAACGACGGGGTAGTGCAACGGGGAATACAATAGGGAAGCACAACGGGGAAACAAAACGGGAAACAACAGAGAAAAATGAAAAGTGAAAAACACATATTTACATTTTTCAATTTACTTAATTGCTTTAAAATACTGACTGTATATAAATCGAAGGAAAAAATGGAAAATCGCAGATTTTTGTGATTTTTTTTTTGAGATGGGCACAAGTCCTAAGTCATCATGTTTTCAACGATTGGCTCGAAGACTTCGACCCAACGACGGGGTAGTGCAACGGGGAATACAATAGGGAAACACAACTGGGAAACAAAACGGGAAACAACAGAGAAAAATGAAAAGTGAAAAAAAATATATTTATATTTTTCAAGTTATTTAGTTGCTTTAAAATACTGTCTGTATATAAATCGAAGGAAAAAATGGAAAATCACAGATTTTTGTGAAATATTTTTTTTTGAAGATGGGCACAAGTCCCAAGTCATCATTTTTTCAACGATTGGCTCGAGGACTTCGACCCAACGACGGGGTAGTGCAATGGGGAATACAATAGGGAAGCACAACGGGGAAACAAAACGGGAAACAACAGAGAAAAATGAAAAGTGAAAAACACATATTTACATTTTTCAATTTATTTAATTGCTTTAAAATACTGTCTGTATATCAATCAAAGGAAAAAATGGAAAATCACAGATTTTTGTGATATTTCTTTTTGAAGATGGGCACAAGTCCTAAGTCATCATTTTTTCAACGAATGGCTCGAGGACTTCGACCCAACGACGGGGTAGCGCAACGGGGAATACAATAGGGAAGCACAACGGGGAAACAAAACGGGAAACAACAGAGAAAAATGAAAAGTGAAAAAAACATATTTATATTTTTCAATTTATTTAATTGCTTTGAAATATGTCTGTATATAAATCGAAGGGAAAAATGGAAAATCACAGATTTTTGTGAAATATTTTTTTTTGAAGATGGGCACAAGTCCTGAGTCATCATTTTTTCAACGATTGGCTCGAGGACTTCGACCCAACGACGGGGTAGTGCAACGGGGAATACAATAGGGAAGCACAACGGGGAAACAAAACGGGAAACAACAGAGAAAAATGAAAAGTGAAAAAAATATATTTATATTCAATTTATTTAGTTGCTTTAAAATACTGTCTGTATATAAATCGAAGGAAAAAATGGAAAATCACAGATTTTTGTGATTTTTTTTTGAAGATGGGCACAAGTCCTAAGTCATCATTTTTTCAACGATTGGCTCGAGGACTTCGACCCAACGACGGGGTAGTGCAACGGGGAATACAATAGGGAAGCACAACGGGGAAACAAAACGGGAAACAACAGAGAAAAATGAAAAGTGAAAAACATATATTTATATTTTTCAATTTATTTAATTGCTTTAAAATACTGTCTGTATATAAATCGAGGGAAAAATGCGAAATCACAGATTTTTGTGATTTTTTTTTGAAGATGGGCACAAGTCCTAAGTCATCATTTTTTCAACGATTGGCTCGAGGACTTCGACCCAACGACGGGGTAGTGCAACGGGGAATACAATAGGGAAGCACAACGGGGAACAAAACGGGAAACAACAGAGAAAAATGAAAAGTGAAAAAAACATATTTATATTTTTCAATTTACTAATTGCTTTAAAATACTGTCTGTATAGAAATCGAGGGAAAAATGCGAAATCACAGATTTTTGTGAAATATTTTTTTTTGAAGATGGGCGCAAGTCCTAAGTCATCATTTTTCAAGATGCTTTACAAAGCATTTTATAGAGATGACGGAGAGGTCATTTCACAGAGGGTTCCCACTTCCCGTTGTGCTTCCCTATTGTGGTCCCCGTTGCACTACCCCGTCGTTGGGTCGAAGTCCTCGAGCCATTCGTTGAAAAAATGATGACTTAGGACTTGTGCCCATCTTCCAAAAAAAATATTTCACAAAAATCTGTGATTTTCCATTTTTTCCTTCGATTTATATACAGACAGTATTTTAAAGCAAGTAAATAAATTGAAAATATTGAAAAAGGTATTGGGATGTAATGTACTGTATTTTAATTTAATGCAATATATGTATGTACGTTCTGATTACTTAGGACTTGTGCCCCTCTGGTGACAGACGATTTCCAAGTCCTTTGCATGTATGTACTGTACTGTAATGTAATGTACTGTAGTGTACTGTACTGCACTTTACTGTAATGTAATGTAATGTACTGTAGTGTAATATACTGTATATACTGTACTGTAATGTACTGTAAGTATGTAGGTCCTGATGACTTAGGACTTGTGCCCCTTTGGTGACATACGATTTTGTGCACCAAGTCCTATGCATGTATGTAGTGTAATGTACTGTACTGTAATGTAATGTAATGCACTGTAGTGTAATGTAATGTACTGCACTTTACTGTAATGTAATGTACTGTAGTGTGATGTAATGTACTGTACTTTACTGTAAGGTAATGTAATGTACTGTAGTGTAATGTACTGTACTGTACGGTAATGTTCTGTAAGTATGTAGGTTCTGATGACTTAGGACTTGTGCCCCTCTAGTGACATACGATTTTGTGCACCAAGTCCTGTGCATGTATGTAATATAATGTCCTGTAATGTGCTGTAATGTAATGTAATGTACTGTAGTGTAATGTAATGTACTGTACTTTACTGGATTGTAGTGATGTAATGTACTGTACTGTAATGTAATGTAAGTATGTAGATTCTGATGACTTATTAAGAGAAGATTTTTTATTTATTTTTTACCCTAAAAAGTGCTTGAATCCAATCACAACCCCAGTGACTTAGGACTTGGTGCACACAAATCACCTGGTAAGAACACCAGTGACTTAGGACTTGGTGCACAAAATCCTATGTCACCATGGTGGCCTAAGTCCTAAGTCACCAGTCCGAAATATAAAATGCCATATAATACCACATAGTAAATCATAGTACCATATAATACCGATACCATATGTATGTATATAATTGTATGTATGTATAATATAATATATATATATAATACCTAGAGTCTTACATGTAATGGTCAGTTTGCCAAAAAAACTTGGAGACCTGGCAACTATAGATGTGATTTCATGAGGGTTAAACCCAGTAATCGACCAAGTCATTTTAGTAAATTGATGGTATACCAGACTTGCACTGTTTTTTGTTTTTACCAAGGACAGCATCAAGCAACCCCCCTTTGGTGATGTATATACATGTATGTATATATATATACACATAATATATATATATATACACATAATATATATATATATATATATTTATTTATTTATTTATACACATATTATATATATATATGTCCGCCTCCCTTTCCATTTATGGGTATACTACTTGTGGCACTCAAAACTCTGTTCTTCACCCCTGCAAAATCTGCGCAGCTGTTCGTTGAGGAAGTCCATGGCTGAGTGTGGCTCAAACCTATTGGCCCAAAAAATGGTGGTTTGATACAAAAAAAAATCTACCCTCTGGTAAACTAACATAACGATGGAAAATCACCATTTTTAAAGGTTAATCAACTATAAAGTGCTATTTCAATAGCCATGTTAGTTTACCAGAGGGTAGTTGTGACAGTTACTTGTTCTTATGTGGCCTCTCAAATAAAACATGGCTATAAACATGGCAACACAGATTTACACAACCGTGCGTTTTTGACATCCATGTGCCAAAACGCATCACGTTTTGTCATTTTTTTAATGAGCAATTTCTACATCAGATGACGAAAAGTTTCAAGAGCCTTTTTTTTCATCTTGCATGTGGTCGTCATGTCTCACTTAGACATGTTGTGGCGATAGATCCACTGATAGATTCTATCCCAGAATCTAGCATTGATGGTTGGGCCAGTGCGGTTCTTCATCTGACTGGGGCAAATTTCTTTGAGGTGGTTCCAACAACGATCAATCTGTTGGGTTCCCGCAACTTTCGTCTTTCCTCGCACTCGCACCTTCCGAGTCCATTCACTACGCATGTGGACCACCGTGACGTCAGCGTAGCACTGCGTAGATGTGCAAGCGTGCAAGAACGTTACATAAGGTAGCATGACGTAGTTCTGCAAGGGTACATGGACGTTATTAACCCACCCCACCCACCCCACCCCACCCCACTGTTTTTGTTTGGGCTTGAATCCTACGTGTATATAGCATGAGTATTGAGCACATTTACATACACTGTCAAGGCTCAAGAGAGATATAGAGTAATCCTGTGGACACCGCATCGACTGGCTATTGGCCGAGTACAAAAGGTGTGAAGATGTCTTGGGAAGACGCTCTAGCTGATCTAACCTAGTTTCTGGTGCCCCTCGTCACCCCACCCCCCCCACCATATCCATGTACGGTGACAACAGAAATCTCAACGCCTACACGGTTGTAGAAATACGTGTCACCATAAACATGCCATGAAGTCCCTTCAAGGTGAAAAATGTTGAAGGCAATTTAGGCTTATTCATCCTTGTATCCCTATATATATATAATGATATTTATATATATATATGTATATATACATATATATATACATATATATATACACACATATATACTGTATACATATATACATATATATATATATATATACATATATATATACATATATATATACATATATACATATATATATATATGCATATATATGCATATATATATATGTATATATATATATATGTATATATATTGTTATATATATGTATATATACACATCAATCCAACATTGTGCTTATATTCCTATGATATTTCTATTAAGGGTTAAATCCCACTACATCCCCATAGGCCCATATATTGCATTCTATTCCCAATTATATGGTTGATGGTTGATCAACAAATTATATCGTTTCCCCACTATAATCCGCATTTATGGTTTAAATTCAGTTCCACTTCACAATGTATTTATAGCATTTTATAGTTCAAAATATTTCACCATCTATTTATAGTATGTATAGCATTTTACAATTTATTAGTTCCATTTATAGTTTTCATAGTTTACATAATGTATTGACACTGTGCATTTCTTCAAGGCCAGGCCGCTCCAATTTCGATCCATTGATTCCCCAGGAGAGGAACAACGGGTCTTCTGGCGCCACAAGGTGCACTGGCCGGGCCTTGCGTTGATAATGAACACCGGCGATCGCAAAATATGGGGATGTGCTGAAACCTATCATACCCTATTTTTGGGGAATGAATATTCATGTGCCAGCAATTTTTTGATACCATGGTACCAGGGTGTTGACTCATAGCCATCTTATCCTACCAAAAATAGTGTGGCAAATGACTTTGCAATACAGATTGAGACTAGTGTCTTGTGGAGTTAGATAGATTTGCCACAGAACCCACTAAATTCACGAAAACTTAAACTTCTAGCAAGGGGGCAACACACCACCAAGAAACCCATTGGACCATTGGTCCGGGTAAATTATAAGAACCTCACCTCCACGTCAGGCTGGATTTTTCAGGTTAGTGAAGATCGGTTCCTCTTTCTGGATATAGGCAATGACTTGGATGAGAACTTGGGGTCCCCATTTTCAACAACCACTTTTAGAAATTGGAATTCACATGATTAAACATGATTTTTCCTGTTTTCCATAACGCATGTTACATGTGGAGAATTTAAGTGAACATATTTCCATCAAATCAGCTGCGAGAAATGCCTGAGCAAAGCCATCTTGGGGGGAGCAGATTTTCTTTTGAGATGTCAAACCAGAAGAGGAATGTAATGGAATGTATTGATAAACTAGATATTTCTCTCATGTTCTATCTATTTCTCTATAATAATTGAGAAAGGCTTATCATCCATCCACCATGAACCAGTGCATGTTGTATCAACTGTGTTTGTATCTTTCCACCAGCTGTGACGTTTGATGCGGTAGTCAGGCAGCAGTACTCTGCCTTTCAGTGGATTTCAACTCAGGCATGGCCGTGCGAGGACCCAGAGATTCTCGAGAGCCAGGTAAATATATATATATATACACATGTAATATATGTAACTTATGTAATATCTGTAATATAAATATATTAATATATATTGTTATTACAGATATTAATATATATTTAATATATATATATATATTACAGATATAATATATATATACAATATATATATATATGTATATATATTAATATATACATATATATATATACATATATATTAACAAATTTAATATGTATATATATATATACATTTATCAGGAGGAGTCACCACACCCCCCTCCATCCCAGCCAGATTGTTCCCTACCTCCTGTGGCCTGGGGGGGTCCCAACAACAACAGTCTTACATGGGCAGTGTTTGCGGAGCTGTAAGTAGTGGTTGATGTCCAGTATATAGGGGATATGTGGAGACTATATAGGGACCCGACGGAGCTTACAGGGAGTATATACGCATATAGTATAATAATATAGACACGCTTTGCAATGGGTCGCATCTAGGTGCGCTATGAAACATGTGTAGGTAGTATATGTAGGGTGTAAGGAGTATATAGGTAGTGATGAAGCACTGTGCACACTACACTGCAGATAGGTATAGAACATATTGTAATATGAGTTGGGCATTATATTTAGGTAGTGTATGACTATGTAACCAATTACATTGCTTTGGTAGGATCCACAGTATATAGGATTATACAGGTATGCATAAGTGCACTTTGAATACACAATCTATAAGTAGAAACTATGTAGCATAAAGGTATACAATGAGTGGTAGGCCATGTGTGAGGTACGCTATAGGCAGTACATAAACAGGTTTTGGGTAGTATGTGCTAGATTGATATGTTCGACATACACAGCTAGACAGGGTCCACTGACAAGTTTGTTGTTCTCAAAATAGGGGAGGCTGTCTCCCAAATGCTGCAATGCTGCAAATAGCATGCAAATGGAAGGTTTGGAAGGTGGAGTGAGGGGACAGGAGACCATACCATTGGGGGGGGTGTGGAGATCCGGGGACCGGGCTCACATATATATATATATATATATACATATTTACATATACATATATATACATATATATATATATACATATATATATATACATATACATACATATATATATACATATACATACATATACATATACATATATATATATATAGATATACATACAGAGTATGAAAATGGACGACCAAATATGAAACATAAAACCTATGATTGGTCATGGTTCTAAATTTTCACGCATCCCCATTTCGGCAAGATCTGGGCTGATCAGCTGATGCCAACTTTGCCCCTCTCTAAGACCCCGGACAGTCCACTGGTTGTCCGTCGCAGTATCCACGCAGTACTTGGAGGATCCCACTTAGAAACTGGTTGACAAGTCTGGTTAGTAAGTTCCTTATATGCCTATACATATACTGTATGTATATATATATATCATATGTATATATAATTATATATATATATAAACATGTGCATTAAATAATCAGGCGTTGCTTTTGTCAAGCTCAAGATACATCCCCACATTCTGAGGTCACCGGTTCTGGTGATCAAACTCTAGTGGCTTGGCCATGTTTTTGGCATGGTTTTTCGCAGGGAAAACGTGGTTTCCAAACCACGGGATTTAGTCGTTGTTCTCCCATGATTTTTCAGACAAAACCATCTGAAAGATGCTGGTTTTCACATTGCCAGATTTTTTTTGTTGTGAAACATGCGAATGACGCTAGCTTTCTCATCCTTGCTGGATCTTGTCGTAGGTGGCAAAATTGTGTTTTTTAAGGACCACTTTGGTGCTTGGAAAGCTTGACATTTCTGGCCAGAAGCATCAGTGGTTGATGGCGTTTCATCAATGATTCCGACATCGTTGTGGCAAGATGACAATCCATATCTCAAGATATCCCAAATATGTCATTATGTCATAGCCAAATGCTGCATTATATACCCAGATTGGGGGATGATCATCATTCCATCACTAGACGTTTGACCCATGAGGAATTCCGGGTGGATGACCATAAACCACCACAGACCACAGGCCTTGTGGGACATCGAAACGGCCAAGCAGCCCTTGAAGAGCATCTTTCGAGGTCGCGGAATGCGACTCCAAGACCATCATGGGATGGTCATGGTAATGACCTGAAATCAACATCGTGGCCCAACTTGATGTTGGATGTTGGGAACATTTTCCAATTGGATGTTCATGTACTATTCATGTACTTCAAGTCAACAGATGTCGGGAACATCTTCCAGTACCTGAAATGGCGATGCAATCGTTCGCAGGTCATAAAGACTGGGTCACCTCTCTGGACGTGGATTGGGAGGGCAGGTGCTGAGCCGCTGACCTACCCTCCGGGGTCATCAAACATGGCGGGCAAATTTTATCCCATCATAAAAGGATGTTTTAACCTGAAAATCAACTACAAATCAATTGTAAATTGGAGATGTTCCAGCAAACCATGGAACTGATTACCGGAGGGTCTATTTCTTCCACATTTGGGGATGGAACTCCAGTAACTCTTGGCTATTTTGTTGTGACCGGTGCCCCCAGGATTTTGATCCATAAGATGGAGAATATTCGCACCTGGTGGATATTGACTCTTGATCAACCATGTATCAGAATTGGGTAACCTCAAACTATGTCTAATTTGAAACTAGAAACAGTCAAACCAAACTCTTTTAAGCCTTTGACCCAGACCTGGCATACCCATTCTATGCACATGTTGATGTTCTAATGAATTAATGATTTGGAGAGTCAAATCGTAACTTTGCCGGGTTTTGTACTGTTCTTTGTACTGTTCAGGCACCTTGAAAGGAGTTAGCTATCCCACTCTACATTCAATGCATTTCCATGCCATAAGTCCACGAGCTACAGGCATTTCAGACCACATCCTATAATTTGGCTCAAAAGCTGAGTGACCGTCACCTCTCTGTCAGCTTGGCACAAAGAAAGTCCTTTCCAAAGGAGCGCCAGCTCGGTTTCGATGTGTTTCTGATGTGCTGACAACTGTTGTAACTGTTGCTGTCAAGGGGTGGCTTCAAATGCAAAGGTTTCGTCCCATTTGGCCCATTTGGGATTCGGGATGATCCCCAAATGCCCCAAATGATCCATTTCCAGGATGAAACCATTCAACTCCAATGGTTGACCATGTTTTCTGAAGACATCGAAGATGGTCAGTTACTTAAAGGTGATATTTCTGAAGTATGATTACTTAGAGATGCTTGTTGCTTACAGAGAAACTCAGTTCGTGACAAGGATACCTGGATCAGATATTCAGTGTCGACTGGCAAAGCGCTTGCCATTGGGAGTGGCTCAACCTCTTGATAATTTTGATGCACACAGTCACGCAGGACATGGCAAAGGTCATTGTGTATCCCAATTCTTGGAGGGTAGTTAAACATCATCTAAAATATCCTCTGCAGAATGCATTGTTCTATGTGGCTCAGGACACATTTCCATGATGACTAAGTCATATGTCCTCTCTGCACTTTGCGACTTGGGTTGCGCACGAAGATTTGTGGTTGGGGTTGATTGATGTACCGCAATGTGACAATGTGTATGATACTCACTGGTATCACTATTTATATATTGACGACCAGTTATTCTGTTACAGATTGACTCACAAACTTGACCCGTCTCAAGGTGCATCAAACAAACTGATTGATGTTGGCAGATTGAACTCCCATAAAGACGCCAATATTGATATATATATATATAGATATGTTGATAATTGTTGTATATTATTATGTGTCATTGTTATTTCATCCCTTAAAATAGGATGATGGTTCCCAGCCAACGTATTTTTTCAGGGGAGTTGAAACTCCAACGTTTTCAGTCCGAAAACCCAAACAAGACCTCATTGGAAGAAATGTGTCATGATTAGGGTTAGGTGACTCATCTGAAAATGATTGCTTGGATTTTCAATTCAGGAATCCAAAAGTAATTTGCCCGGAATGTGGACTGTTTGGCCATGTTCGCCAAATGATTTAAGGAATCCAACAGTCCAACATGATACTCATTGACCAATAGCTGAAACCCCTTGACCCACCTTACCCTCGGGATGCAAGGTGGCCGCCCCGATTGCAAGATGTTATAAAGTATATATATATATATACAGTATATATATATATTATATTATGAGTTTGTTCATAATCAACCCCCATCAACTATACTCTATACTATATACTATTTTCATACTGTTTTACTACTATACTATATACACTATACTATTTACTATAATTATACGATATACATCGATATACTATACTGAAGATTTATCTCCCATAAACCATCGAATTCCCCTCGGCAAAGTTGCACCAACTTAGCGCCACGCTGCAGCTCTTCCAGGTGCAGTTTCCGCAATTCTGCCGAGTGCGGCCCAGTTCTTGGCAGAGCCTTGTCGAAGTTTGGCCTTGTTCTTAGCCGAACGCTTGGGAGAATTTGATAGATAGCGTATAAAGCATCTATAGTACATGAGTATACAAAACATATGCATATATATAGAGGTATTTTGTTATTAGTACACAATACATTAGACAAATATGTCTTAGCAAATGTGATTGTGAACTCGATAGTTGTGTCGTGATTGCTTGGTGCGTGCAACATGTTTTTTTTTCTGATACTGCATGGGCAAAACTCAACAGTGCATCCTGTAGAAACCACATCAAATGAGTTTACTCTAGAGAGACTTTGGCAGTGTGATCAATTGCAAACCATTGAATCGAGTTGGAGTATCAGTACCGTCTCAAAGGGTGGGTGCAAGATAGCGATAGGTGTATATACATACATGTTCACACACATGTAGAAGCAGGACGAAGTAGGACACTAGTATGATACATATTGCGAATTGCGACGTTGATGCATTCATACACCCAGTGTTGTCATCACATATTGCGACGGTAGTTATATATACGTTGAGTGATGAACTGGAGCATTGTCCACCAGAAAAACATCATCTGAATTCAAACTGTAACGTGTACCCTGTGCTCCTTCCCTATCTCTCCATCTATAAATGTACACATTCTCTATATAAATATATGTGTGGATAAATGCATTTAAATGTATATAAATATGAATATGCAGACGTAACCACGGTCCCAGTAGAGGTTCTTCCCTTTCCGTGTTCGATCTGACCTGCTCCAAGCGATGCAGCTCCTAGGAACCCTAGGAACCCGGGTGCAATGTAACAAATTATTGATCCAATCAGTACCCTCTGGTAATTTAACATAGCTATGGAAAATCACCATTTTTAATGGGAAAATCCACTATAAATGGCAATTTTCAATAGCTATGTTAGTCTACCAGAGGGTAATATAATGTTGGGCCTTTTGTATCCTTTTCTTAAGGGCATTGAGGGCCATGAAAAATATGATCAAAAGGGAAGCGATTATCATTTCCAGCCCCGTGAGTTTGTGGGGTCAAATCCAAGCTGTTTTCTGATGAGAATTGCCATGGAAAATTTTGGTATTTCCCTTTTACCCATATCCCCAAATTGGTTAGATACTGTTATATAGCCCATTAGTATCATAGTTTGGTGTGTATATATATATACACATATATCCCATGATATCCCATCATGTCATTAATTATATCCCATAATATCCCATCATATCTCTATATCTCGTTGTATTCTCTTATATATGTAGATCCCATAACAACCTGTTAAAAACACGAAACATATTTTGAGGCTTCAGCCACCACGGGCGGCCAAGGAGTCTTCCGTTCCATTGGAACAGCAAGAGATTCTAGAAAAGTTGAAGGTGGGGAGCCGAACCAGATAGCTACTGGGTGTCGTCAACACGCTACATATGTATGTGTTTATGGTATATAAATAGTACACATACATACGGTACAGAGAAAGAGAAACACTGATATACGATATTCATGTATGTTGTACATGTACTCTATGTTCTGATAAAGTACACATATTTCCCATAATTTGGAACTATTAATCCTAACATGTCGGAGTGATGTGTGCAGATCTTCTTCGCTCTCCAAATTGCACCTATGCAAACAATCATTGGCATATGCACAGAAAGGTGGTTCAATCACACGGCCTTGTAGCTATGTGTATCTAGATACATACATGCACAGGCATATAGATACACAATATACATTATATATATGTATACATAGACAACACGTGTAGTTAAAGATGCAGCTATATGTTTCATACCAATGTGAACTAAAATATACATGTTTGTTCTAAGTCAATCCACTAATACGTACATCCATCTTACATGTGTTGATGTCATTCATCCCGCCGGGTGGGTAATAGAAGGTGGCGGCGTTGCCCTTTCGATGGTTGTGGATCCAGTGTTGTCCATTGCCTTTTGCAATGGATTTCATGTCTTTTTGTCAAGTTTGTGTCTCAATTCCATTGGTTTTATTGTTTTTCTGTGCGCTGGCCGTGAAATATGGACATTTCATCCCCGGAAAAGTACTCAATTTTTGGAGGGTCATTTCGCAAAGTGACAGTGGGGCCATGGTTTTGGCACATGAAAGCGGTCTTTTTTTTCTGCGCCAAGGTTTGGTCACATCTGTGCCAAGGTTTCGCCAGTCAGAGACACCAGGAACGTAGTTGCAAGTTGATAGAAAAGATAACAACGTAGTTGCACAAAGTCGGGCCAGAGATGCTAACGTAGTTGGAAGTTGATAGAGAAGATAACAAGGTAGCTGGAAGATGTCTTACAAGGGATGCTAACGTAGTTGGAAGTTGATAATATAACAACGTAGCTGGATGCTAACGTAGTTGGCAGCTGATAGAAAAGATAACAGCGTAATTATTTGGAAGATGTCTTACAGGGGATGCTAACGTAGTTGGAAGTTGACAGAGAAGATAACAAGGTAGTTGGAAGATGTCTTACAAGGGGTGCTAACGTAGTTGGAAGTTGACAGAGAAGATAACAAGCTAGTTGGAAGATGTCTTACAAGGGGTGCTAACGTAGTTGGAAGTTTCTAGAGAAGATAACAACGTAGCTGGATGCTAACGTAGTTGGAAGCCGATAACGTAGTTGAAAATTCTTACTACAAAGGACGTTAATACCCCACCCCATCCCACCCCACCCCGTGCAAGATATTAGAGAAGTCAATAAAGTAGTTGAAAGTTCTTACTACAAAGGAGGTTAATACCCCACCCCACCACACCCACTCCACCCCAAGATGTTAGACAAATAAAAATAGTGACAACTACACGTTCGGTTGTCCACCCGTAGGCTCATTCATCATTGGCCATGAATTGGATGTACCATTTATATCCATTTATCTTGTTTGATTGCTAAAACCCAACATCGGTTGATGAAATGTCTTTATTTGGGCAACCCTAGATGTTGCGCCTGACATTGCTGGTAGTTATACAATATAAAAATCAATTCAAACATATTGCGTAAGTGTAGCATAACATACTACAATATATTATTATACAATTAAAAATAATCTAGCACATTCTAGTAGAACACACTACAATATAGAGTATACATCAGTCATCAGTATAAAACTTAAAAAAATATATAATCAGTACCATGTACAGGAATACAATGTAACATGATATATATACAACTCATCCAACGTTATCCCTACAGGAACTTCACCTTGGAGGAGATCATGAACACATCATGCCCAGTGATCAGAGGATCGCCAGTCTCCAGTCTCTCGCCGTGGACTATACGGCCATTTCTATACGGAAAACACGGGTGGGTCATGTGGTGAACCCAAGAAGAAACCCATGTAAGATGACCATGAATTGATTGTATAACTGTATAAACCACCCCACATGGATTCTTGGGTTTACCATATCATTTTTTGTCGTTAAGGCAGCATTAATTTATATGGCATTAATGGCTATATTGCCATATACGTACTACTGGTATATTCGTATGGGAATATACAAAATCGCCGGTTTCATGGTATGAATTGAAATCACCGGGAAAAAGCGAAGGCGAGCATCCAATCGCAGTATTTTTGGATGCGGTGATATTGCCAACATACCTTTCAGTGATAAACTTACATAGCCATGGAAATTCGCGGGTTTTCCTGGAACATTCACTCAAATGATGGATTTTATATATCTATGTTAGTTTACTGGAGGATGAATTTGGATATACTTCCTGCAAACAAAATATAACCAAGCATTCTGGATCTGAGGTGAGAAAAAGGGAACATAAACAACATGATTATGGGTAAACTTGGGATTACCTGAAAAATATCACATGAATTGGTAGTCATTTCCCCATTTGCTTGTAATTGAAACTACTCTGGTAATGCAATTATTCTGACTGTATCTACCATGGTTTCCTCTATGGTGCAAACATGGGCATGCGATGGTAAAACTCGCAGTAGACTCCCGCAGAAATCTCGGCACTGTGCGAGGCAAGAGTTATCCACGATCTATGCAGCTTTGCCTAAGAACTCCAGAGGTGCAGATTCTTAGGGCCAGGTCTTGGTGATGATTCTGGTGTTTGCAGCGGCCAATGTTTTTAGTTCAGCATGCAGCAACTGCAGCTCCAATGGGTGACCAAAACCCATGACAGATTGGAACACTGTAACACTTTCAAATTCATCAAAGACTCATGGCAACCCATTGACAAATCCAGTTACATATTGGTGCAAAAATGGGTGTATAATGTATATAAGTATATATAATTATTTTTATAATTATATATATAATGTTATATTCAAACTTTGTCAACCAACATTCCCTAAGCCAGGTGCTTTGCGAATGAGCACCGCCCGATACCTTCTTCATCGGTTGTTCGTCCAACGCCATGGCTGGCACTTTAAGGGCCTGGCTCCAGAAGGGGTGACTTGGCAGAATCTCATCTCCCTAAATGTGGTTTAACCATGTTTAACCAACGTATGCCAACGTGAAACGGTGAAGCTGGTGCAGTGCAGCAGGGCTTTGCTTCCAGTGCTCGGCATCGCGTTTCTGGGTAAAGCCTGGTCTGGCAGGTTAATTACAAAATGTGTTCAATTTGTAGATATGATTTCGGGAGTGTTTAAAATCTTGCTGAAGATCTTTTTGTAGGGTATACCCAGCCCAAAATTTATAGAAACAGCTGTAAACCCTGAAATTACTAAGAAAGTCTTATCTCTTGTCTATCAACTTGGGGATTCCTATAGCTTATATATGCTGTACCTTTATGTTTTGAGGTTCAGTCACGTCCAAGGGTACAGAATGGGATGCGAAGGCCAAGACCGTAGAAGTTGCCGATATCACCAGTAATACATGAAGAATTGTTTATGTTCCCAAACCCTGAACTGGTTGTTTTTTTTTGACATGTGTTTTCCCCATCCAGCCTGGGAGGATACCACCGTACAACCATTATAGTTGGGAATTTGAGATGTGAATTGCTGCCACCTTTTTGACGGCATTTTGTGGTGGGGATGCTTATCATTTCTTGACCTGCAGGCTCTTGCTGGTAGCGGCCTGTTTTTATCGAACATGGAGCAAAACACGTTCGTTGCACAAATCCCTGCATCGGGTCAGAGTTGCTGCACATCCCAAAACGACAAACCCGACAAACTTAAACCAACCCTAAACCCTAAAACCCTAAATCCCAAGCCTGAGCCCAAAGTCAAAATCAGTGCGTAAATCCAATGAATGCCAATGTCAATGTTGTCTTCATCCTCTGCATGTCACATCAGGGGATGGGCAAACGTCTGGGGGTGGCGCAAAGATGTTTAATATGGCTAAAATGACCAATACTAAAACCTGACCTTTTTGTTAGCGTAGCTTTGGAAAATCACCATTTTTAATCATCATGATCATCTATAAACGGACCGTTTTCCATAGCTATGTTAAATAGCCAGAGTGTAGTTCTCATTCATCTTCCCATATTGCCACTTTATGTTGGTTCAATCTCATCAATCGGCATAAGATACCATCTTTTGTCCCATCAAACAAAACAGGCATCTTCAGACAATCCAAGATATTGACCAGTGATATTTTCTCCCAGGATACCTGGGATAGTATCTCTCCAAGTCACGTCTTGGACGACCGGGCGCCGAAAGCGCCTCGGCCGTGGCGAGTACTGTCCCAATCGATTCCTGGTGTTGAAACATTGGAATCCCAATGAGCCATGAAGAAAATACCCTGGTTGATTGGTTACGAACTAGGGACTTATACTATATATATACCTAATTTGTGGGCATGATGAATGATTGTGATACCCCATAGTAGGGAAACCTATCAACGGAAAGATCCGGAAATGGCCAGTCGAGTCATCTCACCTCTTCCAGAGATGTTGGACTGTGGGGGAAAACATGTGTAACTGCATAGCGCAATCTGTTGTTAAAGCAATCGGTTGGGTCCTTTAATGACTTATTGTTTTAGGCACAGCATTGGTGGGTGTATGTTATATATACACAAAAAGTCATATATGTATACATATATGCTTATATATTTGCAAAAGTGTGTATTGCAGTGCACATGCATTTACAGATGTATAATTAAATGTATGTGCGATTGCCGCGATTCAGGACCGAATTGTGTCGGATTCATCTGACAGTGAATGAGGCTATGGACAGATTTAAAAGAATAAGTAAGTAAATAAATGAAATGTTATGAAAGAAGGATAGATGTTGCTGTTATTGTACAGTGAGCATGAATTAAATGATATAATATAGTGTTTGACAAAGTGTTTGGAGTTTTTGATCAATCTAATGTATTTAGATTTGATCTGCTTCAATCTAATTCCTAATGGAATTGGGATAGGCTCAAGAATAATTTCAGCTAGGTGTATTTCAAAATACAACTGAGATAAGTTCAGACATTACCAGTGAGATAAGTTCAGATTGTTTCTGAATTTGGCAAGATTTAGTTCAGAGTGAAGCTGTCATAAGTTCAGAAAATTCTGAGGTCCCCAATCATATTCCAACCCTCTATCAGTTTCTGTGGTAAGTACGTTGCCAACTTACCCATTGTTATCCCATTTGGTGGGGTCAAAAATAATGTATTGATGCTTCATCAGATTGGACATATATATATATATATAAATGATCAAGCTTGAGATGATGGATTATCATGATTGTAGTGCTACATTACTGGTTTCAATTGACTGTTCATGTTGAACACCACATGTTTGGGCCCAAACCTTCACCAGGACGACCTGGACCCCCAAAAACTTGGGGCCACCCTGAGTAGAGACTAGTGCAAAGACCATTTTCACAGTTGGTTTGGAGGCCTGGGGTATATATAAATGCTTGTATTTACATATGGTTAAATTTACATATGCATATACATATATATATATAACGTGTATATATATATATAAGTATATACATATGTCTACATACTATTTTTTCGAATGTTTCCCCACATCTTTGTGTGGGGTTCTTGTTTTTGTTTCTGTATCCCGTCCGCTCCTCTTCCCGTCCTCCTCCGCCTCCTCCGCCACCTCCTCCACAAAACTTTGTCACGCATACAACTTTGTCACACACAACTTTGTCACACGCAACTTTGTCACACGCAACTTTGTCACACGCAACTTTGTCACACACATGTCACACCACTTCACTTTGTCACTTACAACTTTGTCACACACACAACTTTGTCGCACACCATCTTTCAACACACAACATCTTTCAGCACAAACTTTGTCACACACCATCTTTCACACAACATTGTCACACACAACTTGCTCACCCACAACTTTGTCACACACCATCTTTCACAGACGCAACTTTGTCACACACAACTTTCTCACAACTTTGTCACACACCATCTTTCACACACAACATTGTCACACACAACTTGCTCACCCACAACTTTGTCACACACCATCTTTCACACACAACGTTGTCACACACAACTTTGTCACACACCATCTTTCACACACAACATTGTCACACACACACCTTGCTCACCCACAACTTTGTCACACACCACTTTTCACACAACTTTGTCACACACACAACTTGCTCACCCACAACTTTGTCACACACCATCTTTCACACACAACTTTGTCACACACAACTTGCTCACCCACAACTTTGTCACACACCATCTTTCACACACAACATTGTCACACACAACTTGCTCACCCACAACTTTGTCACACACCATCTTTCACACACAACTTTGTCACACACAACTTGCTCACCCACAACTTTGTCATACACCATCTTTCACACACAACATTGTCACACACAACTTGCTCACCCACAACTTTGTCACACACCATCTTTCACAGACGCAACTTTGTCACACACAACTGTCTCACAACTTTGTCACACACCATCTTTCACACACAACATTGTCACACACAACTTGCTCACCCACAACTTTGTCACACACCGTCTTTCACACACAACGTTGTCACACACAACTTTGTCACACACCATCTTTCACACAACATTGTCACACACACACACCTTGCTCACCCACAACTTTGTCACACACCACTTTTCACACAACTTTGTCACGCACAACTTGCTCACCCACAACTTTGTCACACACCATCTTTCACACACAACTTTGTCACACACACAACTTGCTCACCCACAACTTTGTCACACACCATCTTTCACACACAACTTTGTCACACACAACTTGCTCACCCACAACTTTGTCACACACCATCTTTCACACACAGCATTGTCACACACAACTTGCTCACCCACAACTTTGTCACACACCATCTTTCACACACAACTTTGTCACACACAACTTGCTCACCCACAACTTTGTCATACACCATCTTTCACACACAACATTGTCACACACAACTTGCTCACCCACAACTTTGTCACACACCATCTTTTACACACACAACTTTGTCACACACAACTTGCTCACCCACAACTTTGTCACACACACCATCTTTCACACACACAACTTTGTCACACACAACTTGCTCACCCAATCTTTCACACACACAACTTCTGTCACACACAACTTTGTTACACACACAATCTTTCACACACACAATCTGTCGCAACAGCTTTCACACACAACTTTGTCACACACCATCTTTCACACACACAACTTGGTCACACACCACCTTTGTTCGTCACACACATCTTTAACACACAATTTGTCACACACCATCTTTCACACACAACTTTGTCACACACATCTTTCACACACAACTTTGTCACACACATCTTTCACACACAACTTTGTCACACACCATCTTTCACACACCTTTGTCATACACCATCTTTCACACACAACTTTGTCACGCACCATCTTTCACACACAACTTTGTCACACACCACCTTTCACACGCAACTTTGTCACACACCATCTTTCACACACAACTTTGTCACGCACTCTCTTTCACACACAGCTTTGTCACACACCATCTTTCACACACAACTTTGTCACACACCATCTTTCACACACCATCTTTCACACACATAACTCTCTTTCACACACAACTTTGTCACCCACACCATCTTTCACACACCATCTTTCACACACATAACTCTCTTTCACACACAACTTTGTCACACACCATCTTTCACACCATCTTTCACACACAACTTTGTCACACACTCTCTCACACACCATCTTTCACACACACAGCTTTGTCACACACCATCTTTCACACACACAACTTTGTTACGCACCATCTTTCACACACAACTCTGTCACACACAATCTTTCACACACAACTTTGTCGCACACCATCTTTCACACACAGCTTTGTCGCACACCACCTTTCACACACAGCCTTGTCACACACACCATCTTTCACACACAACTTTGTCACACACCACCTTTCACACGCAACTTTGTCACACACCATCTTTCACACACAACTTTGTTACACACCATCTTTCACACACAACTTTGTCACACACCATCTTTCACACACAACTTTGTCACACACCATCTTCCACACACCATCTTTCACACACATAACTCTCTTTCACACACAACTGTGTCACACACCATCTTTTGCACACACCATCTTTCACACACCGTCTTTCACACACATAGCTCTCTTTCACACACAACTGTGTCACACACCATCTTTCACACACAACTTTGTCACACACCACCTTTCACACACAACTTTGTCACACACCATCTTTCACACACAACTTTGTCACACACCATGTTTCACACACAACTTTGTAACACACTCTCTTTCATACACAACTTTGTCACACACAACTTGGCCACACACCATCTTTCACACACAACTTTGTCACACACCATGTTTCACACACAACTTTGTAACACACTCTCTTTCATACACAACTTTGTCACACACAACTTGGCCACACACCATCTTTCACACACAACTTTGTCACACACCATGTTTCACACACAACTTTGTAACACACTCTCTTTCATACACAACTTTGTCACACACAACTTGGTCACACACCATCTTTCACACACAACTTTGTCACACACACACCATGTTTCACACACAACTTTGTAACACACTCTCTTTCACACACAACTTTGTCACACACAACTCGGTCACACACCATCTTTCACACACAACTTGGTCACACACCATCTTTCACACACAACTTTGTCACACACACAACTTTGTCACACACCATGTTTCACACACAACTTTGTAACACACTCTCTTTCACACACAACTTTGTCACACGCAACTTGGTCACACATCATCGTTCACACACAACTTTGTCACACACCATGTTTCACACACAACTTTGTAACACACTCTCTTTCACACACCATCTTTCACACACACAACTTGGTCACACACCATCTTTCACACACAACTTTGTCACACACCATCTTTCACACACAACTTTGTCACACACCATGTTTCACACACAACTTTGTAACACACTCTCTTTCACACACAACTTTGTAACACACTCTCTTTCACACACAACTTTGTCACACACAACTTTGTCACACACCATGTTTCACACACAACTTTGTAACACACTCTCTTTCACACACAACTTTGTCACACACCATCTTTCACACACACAACTCTCTTTCACACACAACTGTGTCACACACCATCTTTCACACACACAACTTTGTCATACACCATCTTTCGCACACAACTTTGTCACGCACCATCTTTCACACACAACTCTGTCACACACCATCTTTCACACACACAACTTTGTCGCACACCATCTTTCACACACAGCTTTGTCGCACACCAGCTTTCACACACAGCCTTGTCACACACACACACCATCTTTCACACACAACTTTGTCACACATCTTCTCTTTCACACACACAACTTTGTCACACACCATCTTTCACACACAACTTTGTCACACACTTTCTTTCACACACAACTTTGTCACGCACTCTCTTTCACATCTTTCACACACAACTTTGTCACACACTCTCTTTCACACACAACTCTGTCACACACCATCTCACACCATCATCCATTCACGCACACAACTTGTCACACCCCTCTTTGTCACACACACTCTTTCACACACAACTTTGTCACAAACCATCTTTCACACACAACTTTGTCACACACCATCCTTCACACACAACTTTCACACACCATCTTTCGCACACAACTTTGTCACACACCATCTCACA